GTCTGTCTAAAAATCAAACTTTTGGCCTTACATGTGCTCAGATCAGATGGAGAAGTGTATTTAAGTTCAGTTGGCTACAACTTTGCTATCTTAATGGAATATGAATCTGTCTTTGAGATGCAGGTAGTGACCTGCCTTCCCCTTTCCTCTTGGGTGAGCTCCAGTTGTGCAGTGATCTGGCCCCCCTACACTGAGAAGTGTTTTGAGCTGTCTTTAAGAAAATATAATGTCTGTAGCCAGTGTGATAGCAACATGCTCACTCATGTCACAGATGCTATGAAGGTATTTTCATGTCTTCCCTTTTTGTTGAGAATGTGACCTGAGGCCTTACAACAGGATGACAAAACCTGGTGCCCTCTGAATACTCTGAACTTCAACTGCCCTGATGGCTGGGGCTCAGGGTCTTTGTATTTCAAATGATCTGGAGGACATCAGGTTGACTACCCTTCCCTTTCTGGATCTGGTGAGCTTGAAAGGAAGAGTTGCACATGTCCATATGTGTTTTTCTTCTAATGGATGGAATGAGGTTTGTCCTACAATTGATGTAAATGTAAGGCAGGAGAAAGGCAGGCTGATGCATCTTCTCAGTGAGGAGGTAGATAGATTTTAAAACTTGTTTGTAAGGCCAGACTCAACATACTTTTGCTTTCTGTTTTTATATTTGTGTTTCAATTTGTCATTTCTGTTCTGTTTTATACCCCAGGTTTCCCATAAACAGTTGCTGCTGTTAATAGTGGCATAGAGAGAAGATTGGAGTGCATCACTGTTCTTGCAACACAAGCAGCAGGGCTGTTTTCATCTAGCATAACAGAGCCTGACATGTTGGCTGTATCCATATGATTAGCTGGAGGGTGGTTAATTAGCTTTTTCTAGGCCCTGTCATGATCCAGAAATGCAACTGTTCAGTAGTCAAGATTCCTTCCTGTAAATGTGATGTTCTATCGATGATAGAATCAAGCGAAGCAAGTAGTTATGTTCTCTTGGGTATCAATTAGGTAATATTAATGTCTCTCAAAGTATTCTTTGAGTACAAGACTTATTAGATCATTAGGTTATCCAGTGACTTAATAGGTTATTAAATTAACTTAAATATATAGAAAAAAACATAATTCCAGTATAGTGCATTTAATTAGCATTTGGTTTCAATATAGCTGATGCATAAATTCTTTCTAAGGTACAGAATTCAGAAATAGGTTTTCCTTCCCTACTGTAGTTTGTTTGGGTTTTTTAACTTTATCTTTTCTTTTTTGGTTTTCATTATTTTTTCTTTAAGTTAAGGATTGTTTTGTTTAATTGTGGTTTTCTTTAGTGTATTTTGAAGTTTAGTTAATAGAAGAATGTGAACCAGCAAGGCCTGTTTTCTTTACTGAAGACTGTATCTTGGAATTTAGATGGTGGATTTAATATCTCATTTATAACAGCCAAATACTAAGATGATATAATCAAATGCTGAGGAAAATCACAGTTACTATGCTGTATAATATTCTATAAAATTTTCTAGACCAGTTTATTTCAATGCATTTTTTCTCCAGGTGTCTTTAGCATCTACTGTTCTCATTCCCTTCAGTGTTGTTAGAGGCTTTGTGGCTGTGGATCATGGGAGTTTGTCAAAGACAACCCAAAGGCAAAATTGGTGGAGAAGCAGTTCTAAAGAACCAACAATTATTAGAAACAAATGTATGTGGTGGTTAAGTACCAGGAATACTACTACATTGACATTAAAAAAAAGTGATCTTACATCAATATAATTGAGGAGCTATTTTCCAAGTTGCAAACAGATATGCTCATTCAAATTCTTGCAATTTTATATGCATATCAGGGGTTTTTTTTTAAAGAAACTCTTAGCTATTATTTATTTATTAATTGAATTTATATGGCCATCCATCTCACAAAAAGCAGCTCTACAGGAATAAAGAAAGAAGAAAAGACTTATTTTTTCTGTTTATTCAAGTAGGTTGGAGAAGACAGAGACTTAGATGCTCAGCCAAGAATAACTAGTGGTAAAGGATAAAGGACTGCAAGGATGTTGAGGAGTCATTTGAGTGTTTTTGTTTTTTTTCGGTTTATGCCCCAGTGTCCTTTGGGTTTTATGTCCTTAGAAAATGATAAGCAAAGGAAAGCATTTGCCTACTGTTTAGAGAAGATGGTAGTATTGAAATAGGTGATGAGGAAAAGGCAAAGCTCTTACTAAATTGCTTCAGTCTTCTCCCTAAATGGACCTAAGCAGATAAATTGATAAAAGGAGAAAGTGCAATCTAAGGCAAGTAAAGAGATTATTAGGGAGCACCTGCCTTCCATGAATAAATCTCTAGGATCAGATCAGTTACATCTGACAATCTTGAATGAGCATGTGGATGTCATCTCAGAGCCGCTTTCTTGATTTTTGAGAAATCATGGAGGACAATTAAACTGCCCAAGGATTTGAGAAGGGCAAATGTTGCTTTCTTCAAAAAGGAGGCAATAAAGGCCAAAGTAACTACAGCTTAACCTTGGTCTGCTTGACATTATACTGGGCAAAATTATGTAATACATTATTAAGCAGTTGGTTTGTGAGCATTTAGAAAATAATGTGTTGTTTAGCAGGAGCCACCATAGGGTTATCAATAACAAAGTGTGCCAAATCAACTTGGTCTCATTTTTTGATAGAATGATCAGTTTAGTTAACCACGGGTATGTGTGGACATAATATACTTTGCTGAAGACAAAGCATTTGACAAAGTCCCCATGAGATCCTGATAGAGAAGATGGCAGAATGTGGGCTGGATATGCTACCATTAGCTGGATAGAGAGCTCGTTGAATGTGACCATTAGATGGATATAGAGCTGATTCAATAAAAGTGTACATTGGTGGCTCTACCTCAAGTGAAAGTGTTGAGTGGTGTTCTGAAAGTTTTGTTCTGGTCCCTTGTGCTGTTCCATGTATTTAAAAATCTACTGAGACAAAAAGCAGACTGAACACCTAGCAGTTTTCTTCATGGACTTTTGAACAACAGTCGTAAATTCTCCAATGAATTTTGAGAACTAGTCAGAGTTCTTACTTGTGTCTTTTTCTTAAACTTTTGGATTAAAGATAAGGACAGCAGTTTGTATAACAGCAACAATAACAACATGTAAAACAAATCAGAATGAATTTCAGTTGTAATGGATTTTATTTAGTTGGCAATTTTTTATTAGAGTTTGGTTTTTCCCTTGACGACTTATCCCTTTAAACTTTTAATAATTTAGAGACAACAGAGAAATTATTTGATACTATTAGTTCTAGTGGATTGACGCTATTGTTGAAAACTCTGGTTTAGCAGTAGAATTCTAAACTAATTCTGTGTAATCATTTGTTGAAGTAGTTTTGTGAAAATGATTGCATGATATTCTCCAGACATATACTTGGGGGTCAGAAAATGAAAGGAGAAAATAATAAAATAATATATTGTTATATAGTCTCTGATAGTGCTATTACGATGGTTTATGAAAGTAATGAAGACATGTAACTTGGGAACTTGTGATTGAAATTCAAAGTAACTTGAGATCGTAGAAGGCAAGGAATTTATCCTTTTTTTAAAAAAATATTATTATTCTGGTCATACTTGCATTTTATGTCTACTCATTGACCTGCTGGGCCTGATCTTAAAATGCCTGGAATAAGTATGGAATGTTTTGTTTGTACTACTTAAATTACATCACTGTGAAATGCAACACAATGGAGGTATTCCAATGTAATATCCTATGCTTTGTGATTTATAATTCCAGCCATTCTATCCATGTGATCTTTCATATTTCTTTTTGATTGCCTTGATCTTTTACAAATACTGCTGTACAGACACTGTTGATTGTTGGGGTATTTGTCTCTGCCTTTTTAATTGCACATAATGTATGAGAGAAATACACAACTGCATTTCTTTTTTTCTACAAGATATAATAGGTCGAGAGAAATAGTATGATATATGATATGACAAACTGGAAGACTCATGATAGGGATTTTGAATTATGGTCTCCTAGGCCCTGTGACATTTAACTACTGTACTTTGCCAGCTATCCAAAGTTGAATTGCGGACAAAGTTTCTTACTGACAGATGGTACTTCTGAAATAAGCTTTTGGGCAGTGCTTTTTAATAAAGCAATTTGAAATGAGCCTATTTTCCATTGTTCAATTTCTTTTTCTTCTACTTTTGCAAGAAGGCATACAAAAATACAGAGACCACATGCTAGACTCTGCAGTTTAGAAAAATGATGATGAAAAATGGTAAAAGCTTTATAAAAACATAAATTATGTGGAGACGTGGGTATATATTTTCTCTCTCAGAAGTTCTGGATCATTAAGTAGCAGATTCAAGAAAGACAAAAAGTGAGTTATTCACATATTTCTCTCACACGTATATACACATCCTGCCAGTGGGATCTCCAGAGTTATTTCAGAGTGTATCCAATGGATTAAGATTTCAGGGGGCCCACGAGGGAAGAAGGGTCAAAATCCTTGCTCAGTCCACCATTTAGTAGACTACCACTAAACACAAATTGGGATTTACCCCAGTATTTTTAGTTTGTTCCACAAATGCTGACAGGCATGACAGAGAAGTGAAGTATAAAGTGTGTGTGTGTGTGTGTGTACATATAATAAAGAATAGCAGGCAATAGCAATTGAATTGGATTTGAAAAACAGAAAGCATGAAGAGGAATTGGATAATTGTTACACATTTAATCTGAGTTAGGATGGTAGCATAGAGATGAATTAAGAAAGCGAAAAAGAAGAGACAAATGGGACCTATGAAAGTTCTTCCAGTAAGAAAAGTTGAAGAAATATTTGGAAATGTCAGATTGAATTGAAAGTTCCCATGCCTCAAAATAAAAATAAATATTTTTCAGTGCATGTTAAATGAATGATAATCCATTTTGTTATGCAGAAATATTTGCTACTGTTTGCGCAATAGTGTCTTTGCTCAGCTGTAACTATTTTATTCACTATTTAATTGGAGTGCTTTTCTTCTCTTCCTGAATTTTCCTTGTAGATTGGACAACTTGCTTTTAAAGGCATGAAACGATTAAACCGAATCCAATCCATTGTTTTTGAAACTGCCTACAACACAAATGAGAATATGCTAATATGTGCACCTACTGGGGCAGGAAAAACTAACATTGCCATGTTAACAGTTTTGCATGAAATCCGTCAGCACGTTCAACATGGAGTTATCAAAAAGGATGAGTTTAAGGTAGGAATTCAGTGATGTAGAGGGCAATTTGATAACTTGTTGGCAGAGATATGTCCCTGTATGATTTTCACGTATTGTGAATTTAAGAAGTTTTCAAGGACAGCTTGTTTTCTCCAAGACATATGGGTACAGAGTTTGTTGATTTACTTCATTGCTTGTTCGCAATTCACTTTTTTGGTTCTGGAAATGTTGCTGCCTGTGTGAAAGTGTTGAAAATATATTTAGCTTTGGTGCAGAACAAATGTTCAAAATGATAGTCCTTTATAAACAAAAGACATTGTTTTGTTTAAAAATAGCTGAGCATTTATTCTAAACCAAAATAACCGAAATCCACATGCTGCTATTAGGTTTCTTGCTGTAAATGCTAAATATAAATTTTTACATAAATTGTGATTGGTATCCGTTGATGTGAATATTCAGTGTTGAACATTTTGCTCATTTATCAATTTAGTATCCTTTTTGGTGCAGATAGTTTATGTTGCTCCTATGAAGGCATTGGCGGCTGAAATGACGAATTACTTCAGCAAGCGTCTAGAACCGCTGGGCATCACGGTGAAAGAGCTCACAGGTGACATGCAATTGTCAAAAAGCGAAATTCTCCGAACTCAGGTACCTAATTTACTTTCTAGGGCGCTCTGACAGTTTATAAAGAGTAACGGCTGAGCCTGTTGTGTCTCATTACTACCCTACATGAGATGAGAACACACACATGATTCCCTGCTTGAGCAGTGCAAGGAAGGGTTGGTGGTACTGAGCAAACTGTCATCCAACAAAGCTTTCCCCATCATTTATTGTCTGGATGCAGTTTCACATGTTTGATCTTCCAGACCGTTGTCCAGTGACTGACACAGCTGGAGTTTGATAGGCCTTAAAAGAGAGGGTGGAAAATCTTCCTGATGGTGCAGATAACGTAATGTTGGTGACAGTTCTGTATTAAGAATTGCTTTGTTGCATGAGGTCCAGCCCATGATAAGTGATAGCCAGCCCAACTTCCTAGAAATGTATGGAAATTATTGGTTGGCTTCTTTGTAGTATCTAGTAACATAGAAGCTGGATGATTCATTCAGTTCTCCTAGTTCAGCTTTCTCTAACCACCTGTATACAAGGATGGTATTCCTAGCATTCACAGCAAGCATATCTGCTAAATTAGGTGGGGATTTTGGAAGTTTCAGTCCGCAACCATCTGAGGACGCCAGGTTGGGGAAGGTTGTTGTAGCAAATTGTTTCTGAGAGTCCTGTTTTCTCTGTTTTTGACAAATTCTTTTTGAAACAACTTCCCAGCTCGCCATCCTTCTATTGCTGAGGTAGAGAATTCAGGAAGTTCATTATATGTTGCTTTAAAGAAACATGCTTCCTTTTTCTTTATTTTGAGCTATTGGCAATCAATTTAAAGGAAGGATTCTGAGGACTCTTACTTTGAAAATGTAGTTTCTCTGTATTGTTTAAAACTTTATGGGTCTCTATTAGGTGTTCCTTCAGTTGCTTTTTTTAAAAAAAGAGGTCCTATAGGTTTCTTTCTGAAGAGAAGATGTTTCATACGTTTTGATATATTTCACACACAGAGAAAAAGAGAAATCTAGTAACTAATTTGTCCTTTAGGATTACCACTTTTTTTTCTTATTATAAGACTTTATTCTGGGTTGAAAAGTCACAAAATGTTGTCACTAGCATTTCCTAATAATGCTTCCTCTTCCAGGGCAGTGTTTGTTGCCATCTATTTACCTGAACTGAACTCTTTGGATTTTGTATTTAATTTATGATTGTAATTCAGTATTTGTATTTACCACCCAAATTTACTGGTTCCACAAAAGGATTGTAGTTAAGAGGAGTCTTATATCAGTTTCCACAGCACTGATGTCATGTTGGTTGGAGAATTCTAGGGTGCACAGTCTCAGTACAACCACAGGATACCATGATGGGAAAGGCTGTCTTATAATGTAATGCAAATAGATCATGGTACAGATTGGAATGATTGTAGTTTAAATGTTGCCTGGATTGTAAAATTTCTTGATGTCTTCCTTTTCTTCCTTTTTTTTTTTAATTTATGAGATTTATCTGCCACCTCAATCCAAAGGGAACCCAGGTACAACTAAAATTTAAAACAGATTAAGAGTTCTGTTATACAACACACATGCGCGTGCACACACACACACACATACACATTTATACACATAAGCACACATATTCAAATATACATAGTACATATATATATGCATACATTTACGCACACATATATACATAGACACACACACAGACACAACCCCACACACACATACATACAGGTAGTTCTTGCTTAACAACCATCTGTTTAACGATAGTTTAAAGTTACGACGGCAGTCTTGGAAAAAGTGCTTTATGACCATACTCACACTTACGACCATTGCAAACCATCACGCACCCCCGCAGTCACATGATTGTAATTTGTGACATTTTTTATGATGGTCATTAAGAAAATCCCCATGGTTGTTAAGTGAATCCTGTGGTCGTTAAATGAATCACGTGGTTGTTAAGCAAATTCTGGCAAAAAAGTCAGTTGGAAAAGCTGGATTCGTTTAACAACCATGTGATTCGCTTAACAATCATGGTGATTTGCTTAACAACTGTCATAAAAATGGCTATAAAATTGGGTCTGGTGATGTGATGACTTGCTTAATGACTGTTCCGCTTAATGACCAATTTTCTGGTCCCTACTGTGATCATTAAGCAAGGACTACCTGTTCACCTGAATTATTTTACAGGAACATAACAAAACAATGATTTCATGAATTAATACAAATATTAAGCCATGGTTTATTTTATCTGTTGTTTGAACATACCACAATGGCTAGATTCATGCAGTAAGCTAAGTTATAAACTATAACTTATACACTTTATAAACCATAGTGTATTCATACATTATGTGGATTCTAATGTGCTATTTAAATATTTCTGTTCTTATTTTTAGTCCAAAGGTATCATGTGAAGGGCTTAATCTGTTAAGTAATCCCTAAAAGGAATTTCAAAAAGTGCCTCATTATGATATGGATATTTAGATATATAGTAGACACCTGATATTTAAAATAAATGCATCAACTTATTTTTACTTGGAATTCTCTGTACACAGAAAAACCCTGGAGGAGACTGTCTTATCCAATATATGCTACAGAAACTTGATAGGTAGATTAGCACCCAGAAATTCATTTTATAGAAGATTTCTGTAAAGAGCTGGCAATTGTAACATTAATGTCTAGTTTAACACAATTTGTGGTTAGCACATTAAATGAGATGGCTGTTGATGGGTTTTATTTTGACATAGTATTGTTCAGATTCTGGGCAAGAGACTTTAATCCCTTAAAAAGAGACATCAATACAGTTCCTACATATTAACTGGTTTACTGTTCTGAAAAGATACAAGTTATATAAACTGATTTTAGTGAAGTGGATGATTCTCTGCTTAGTGGTATGGTGCTGCTTTTTATGAATGGAGTAAATAGCTCAGAGGACTGAACAGAATGCCATCTCAAAGTTTGGGTGATTGATTGCTCTTGCAGTGATAGTGCAGAAGCAAGCAGTGAAACAGACAATGTAAGAATCCAGTAGCGATGAGGCTGCCAAATGTTATCAGGACCTTTTTAATTGTGTGGATGAGGACCCTGATGGGTTCTGATGGATTTCAAAAACTTAAGTTATGATGATTTTATTCCCCAATGGCAATTGAATCTAATGTATAGAGGATTTGTTTCTTGCTTTTTTTTTAAATAAGAAATGCAGCTATATGATTCCAAAAGTGCCTGAAACGAAGATAGGTATTGGTACTGCCATTTTGAACAGTTGAGGATGCAGCATATTCTAAGATGCTACAGGTAGTCCTCGATTAATAACCACTCCTTCGGCAACCAGTCGAAGTAACGACGACACTGAATAAGTGGTGGTTATGACCGGTCCTCGAAGTTCCAGCCATCCCAGCACCGCCGCAGTCATGTGATTGCGATCTGGGTGCTTGGCAACCAGGTCGCTCACAATTATGACATGACAGTTGCAGCATCCCACGGTCACATGATCATGAGTTGTGACCTTCCCTGCCAGTTTTCCACAAGCAATCAATGGAGAACCCAGCAGAGAAGGTCGCAAGTTGCTCAGGTAAGTCTCCCCCACCCACGTACTTCCCCCAACTCCTCTGTACTTGTACTTCACCTCTCTGATCACCCGCACACCCTCGCTCACCTTCCATGACTCTTGCTGCGCTCATACTGCCTTCCCAGCCACTTGTGCACACTCCCCGCCACTTGTACACCTCATGCTCCCTCCTCAAACCTCAGACTTGTGCCACATCTCCCCGGCCACTCGCACACCCTCCATGCCACTTGTGCACCCTTCCCCACCTGGCAGCAGCCACCCCAAGCCTCACTGTGCTCGCTCTGCACCTCCCCGCCGCTTGTGCACCCTCATGCACCTTCCCTCACCCATCAGCAGCTACTCGAAGCTCCACCACACTCATGCTGCACCTTCCCTGCCACTCGCACACCCTCACTGAGATTCACTGAACTCACGCTGCACCTCCCTGGCCACTTGTGCATGAGAAGTGCCACACGGGTCAGGGAGGATGCACAGGGCCAGTGCAGTGCAAGTGGCCAGTGCAGTGCAAGCGCAGAGGGGCTGGGGAGGGTCTGCAGGTGGGGGAGATTTACACCAGCCACTTGTGACCTTCCCCGCCATCTTCCCCATTGACTTTATGGGGAAGCTGGCAGGGAAGGTTGGAAATTGCAATCATGTGATTGCGGGGTGCTTGGCAACCGGTCATAAGTGTGAATGGGTTGCCAAGCACCCAGATTGCAATCACATGATCACAAGGGTGCTGGGACAGCCATAACTCCAAGGACCATTTGTAACCGCCATTTGTTCAGCACTGTCATTACTTCGAACAGTTGCTGAACAAACTGTCATAAGTCGAGGACTACCTGCACTGAAGATTCTTTTTTTTAAGATTGGACTATCTCTTTGGCAGTGTAAAATATCTCACCAAAACTGTACAGATCTGGCTATTCTGTGGCTATTCTATTCAGATAACTCTTCATGTTGAAATCCAGAAAAAAGCCTTTTTTTTTTTTTTTTTAATCTGCACTCAGTCGTTACCGACTCTGCAGTGACTGCTTTGG